AGTGACAAAACAAATGAATTTCTTCTGCTACGCAAGTTTGAAGCTTTCCAAGTCTTATATATCAGCATTTATGGTTGTTCATGGATTTCAAGAGCTCGAAGCCACATTTTCTAGAAGACTACCATATGAAAACAACACAAGTATGCCAAGCATTTCAAGAAGACTAGCTTACAGATATTCATGAGCAGATTTAAAAGGATCCAAAACAAGTATTTGACATGCTTAACTCAGGAAACATGAGAACTAGAGTACAAAACATATGAAAACAAAATTGAAGAAAGATTACTTACATTCTCAGAATACTTTTCAGAAAAGGGAAGAAACCCTCCAGCTGGTCCAAATTAGTAAGACCTTGTACTATTAAAACAGGTATGAGAAATAAAACAGTGAGAACGGTGAATGCAACAATGACAAGAATGCTGCAAATCCATCTCCTTGTAAAAGATGCCGAAAAGAAAGGCCAGTACACATCCTGGGGATGAGGAGCTCGCTCAGTTGTCCACTCAGTGGGATTTATCCCTTGTCTGATATGCAAAGCTATTGCAGCACCAAGTCTGGTCTTGAAAGATACAAAAGCAGCCCGGACTTCCTGTACACAAAAAGAGGATATATAAATGAAAGACTCTCACTAATAAGCCTTGAGACGGATGCTATAATGCTTGCATATCAGATATTTGGGTAAACACCAGAGCACCCTAGGGCAACGCACATTGGCAGCATAACTGCATTAAATTGGTATACACAAGAAAAGGAAAAGAAGAAGAAGAAGAAAAAAAGAGATGTCATGAGATAAACACAACATAAATGCAGTAAGTCACTACATAGAAGTTGTTACAATAACAGATCCTTTACTAGATACAATACACCATTCAATGATTGAATATTAGCCACATTCAGAATAGCATATGCCACATTCAGAATAGGCACTAGAAAGATATTAAAATTCAGCCAAAGAGAAGCAAGTGGCTTCAGTCCACAATGAAAACAAAAGCATATTGTTCGAAAAAAAGTCTGAAACAGCATCATTGTCCAAATGATGCTTATTTTAGAGGACCAATACTGCTAAAACTTGACAGTTGATGTTTGAAGATTAGTCATTCACTTAGATCTTCTCTTCCTTAATTAGCACGCCATCATTAGGATATATGTGAGCTCCTTTCAATGAAGATAGACTTTCTTACAGCTTAAAGATGCTTGTGCAGTGGCTTAAATTGATGTACCATGTAAAGCTTACATAACGTAAAGACAATGCAAAACCAACTCACAGAATGAACTCACTGGGTTGTCACTTTCTAACAAAGTACAAAAGGAAAGTTTGGGTATTGAATAAGTGCTTTCGAGAATCCAATAATATGAGACCATCTCCTCAGGTTAGTATCATATTTAGCTTTCCTGAGTTGCTCTAGATTACTTTGACAAAAACATAAATATTCCCTTCCTACACAAACCAAATCATTGGGTGTCAAGAATGAGATAAAGTGAAAAATGCTTCCAGAAACAAATAACTGCCCAACAAAATCCACTTCCCAACAAAATCAAAGAAAGGTCATTTACCTTCATTGCAACTGAAGATTGTTCAGTCCTCACATTATCTTCAACATCTTCTAACTGCTTCTCATATTGTTCCAGAAGATCAACTCTACGTCCACTAAGTCCCATAAACCCAGTACGCTTGAACCTTTGCTCGCTCCCGTCGCCTGACCTCAATCTCACAAGCTTTCCATACAAATTATCTGCATCATTCTGGAGGAGTATTACGCAGATCTCAGAGATTGAAGCAACTAAAGTACTTAATCTACATTGTTGGAACCCATAGAAAGAAATAAGAGATTTTTCATTTGCATCTACTCATGCTTTTTACGTCAAGCCAATGTGGTTAGTTTCCATAGACCAAATCATAGCAAATGTCATAAACAGACTAAGATGCCATATATCAGCAATGGTATCCAGTTTCCACATTGTTGTATATTTGTAGTGCATAGATATCTTCACAAAATTACATAAAACCTTTGGCCAAGCAGCATATATTGTGGTTCATGTCAATATGGCAACACCAGAGATGATTTCCCAGGAAAATGTCTAGTCAATGAACACTCTGCTCTAATGTGTAAAATCAAAGTAACAGGATAGCAATTACTCAAATTTTTCCACAAGCAGCCAACATCACATTATTCTACTAGGCTATCACAAATCCAGAACTTCTCAATTAAACTCAGACTTGTAAATTAAATATAAATCCAAGACAAACTTCTCAATTCAGCTAATATTAATTAATTATGAAGGCACAAATCGAAGAGTATTCTCAGAGAAGTAAAATGAAGTTGATACAATTGTTTAAATGATCTGCAAATATTGGAAGTGACAAATATATCAAATTCCCATGATGCTTACGACAAGGTTTTTGAGTTTGCTTGTTCGACGAACTACATTATGTGAAAGATACGTAGAAGGATAAATTTCTGTGAAAAAGCTCTCGACAGTATTGCTGACGCTTCTCCCAGAGGTTACAGGGATGCTTCGGACTAAAACAGTAAACTCTTGTGGCTGAGGTTTCGATGAACAGAAACACGCCAATCTTTTGGCTGAGATATATGCATGTTCCTGCAGATTGTATAGTATTTCAGAGTCCAAACACTCCTAGATTCATAATATTTTGACCAGGAAAGATAAATTAAAACCACAAGGGATGATTTACTTACAAAATAAAGAAGGCAGCAAACAAACATCGTGAAAACATACACAGCACAAAAGTGAATCCACAACCTTAGAAAGGCCAAGATAGACAGTCAGAGATCAGATCCAACTTAAATATCTGCTATAAATTCACTAAATTTCAGCAAGCAATTGAGACTCTGTACTACATCTCTGCGTTGTCAATTAATACCAGCCAATTGATGCAACCAATGTTAAGCCGAAGAGGCAATGAAGTCAAAGGAATCAATTTTGTTATCGTAAGACGTGTTACATTTATAAGAATTAGAAAACATGACAAAAGGCACAAATGTGGGAATTCTGTCAATGATTTTGGCTTTTGTTATCCTCAGCAATCTCCTATATCCCGTTGGTCAGAAGTACCAGTAAATTCCGGGTTCATAATTAAAGACAAAAATCACCTGTTTGAGCCATCACCCACATTTGAGATGGTGAAAGTTTCCAGAGTTTTATTTTGCACGCCCGTGAAGTCGAGACTTGGCTGATCACCCATATAATTAACAGGAAGAAGAATAAAAACCCCAATAACCGTAGCAAAAGTGAAGATCCTCAAACTGCAGAAGTAAACAGGTACAGTGAGCAAAACGTGGTATGCAACAAAAGTAAAGAAAAAGGCATACGGACACGTAGATATGAACAGCCTTTGACGTGCAATCACGCATATAGAAATCCAAAACTGAATAACCTGAAGATAAAAATGCGCATGAATACTACGCCGTCCAAACCGGAAACTGATAAAAGCTCATCTTCTGAGGGTTGCCATGCCATTCTGACCCAACCAGCAGACGGTAATAACCTCTCCAAGCTGAAATCCCCTCTCTCTTGGGATTTGCCATGAGCAACCAGTCTTGGTGCATATACACCGGCATTGCCTGGCTGCTTTCTCAATATGGAATACAATGCAAAAAACAGAAAACAAAGAGCAAGATTGATTCCAACCGATGTCAATAGTGCAGAAAGAATCATCACTTCAAGTAGCTGGCTCAACCCGAACTACAGTACTCATTCACAGAAACAAACCCACCTCCTCAGAATGCCTTATCAGATGGTTCGATCGACTTAACTGGGCATGCCAAAAAAAAAAAAACGATGTTAAAAGAGTTACTAAGAACATGAGGTACAATAGCGTAAAGGGGGTGACTTCATTTATAGAAGCACTCCTAAAGAACAAACTTTCTTGGGTCTCTTCTATTAAAGTGAAACTCCTAATATCGCGTATCAAGCCGGAAAAATTCAAAACGATAAAGAAAGAGGGAATAAAATGATGATAAGATACAGCTTTTTACTGACCCAGAATCGTCAGAAGGCGATAAACTATAAAATATTTAGGGTGTGACAGAATCAGCTGTAAGTAGAAGGTAATGAAAACAGTAGAAGCTTTTCCTTGCGTGTGTTGATTCTGATATCAGTAAACGTGATGTTCCCAATACAGACTTACAAGTAGAAATCTTTATACACTTTAGAGCAGCAGAAGTATCAGCGACCTGAAGTTTCTCGAATTTGCTGAACAAAAATGATGGCGACAGGGGGAGCAGCAGTGCTCACTACTTCAAGAACCGTACCAGTCAAACTTTTGACCAAGAGAGTGGGAACCCTAATCAAGATTCGAGAAAGATGATACTGAGCAGAGAATTAACCGACTCATCATCGAAGAAGTAGAGAATCGATACTTTGATTGAGAGGGTTATGTTGCAGAATGAAAGCAGACGGTAAAATTACTTTGAGAGGAAAAAGTGGGTGGGAGGGCAGGGATCAGCTCAGCTCAACTTATTCACCTGCTTTGGCAGTAACCAAATAAAAGTTGCTTGGCGCTAACCAAATAAATGTTAAAACCGCCTCACTTACAACTCAACTCAGCCTTGCTCCTATTTTCGGCCTCTTATCAATTAATAATTACTACCCAATAATCCCAGGTTCGCCTTTATTTTTAATATGCAATTTGCATTGCTTTCCTGAGTTGCTCTAGATTACTTTGACAAAAAATAATATTCCCTTCCTACACAAACCAAATCATTGGGTGTCAAGAATGAGATAAAGTGAAAAATGCTTCCAAAACAAATAACTGCCCAACAAAATCCACTTCCCAACAAAATCAAAGAAAGGTCATTTACCTTCATTGCAACTGAAGATTGTTCAGTCCTCACATTATCTTCAACATCTTAACTGCTTCTCAATATTGTTCCAGAAGATCAACTCTACGTCCACTAAGTCCCATAAACCCAGTACGCTTGAACCTTTGCTCGCTCCCGTCGCCTGACCTCAATCTCACAAGCTTTCCATACAAATTATCTGCATCATTCTGGAGGAGTATTACGCAGATCTCAGAGATTGAAGCCTAAAGTACTTAATCTACATTGTTGGAACCCATAGAAAGAAATAAGAGATTTTTCATTTGCATCTACTCATGCTTTTTACGTCAAGCCAATGTGGTTAGTTTCCATAGACCAAATCATAGCAAATGTCATAAACAGACTAAGATGCCATATATCAGCAATGGTATCCAGTTTCCACATTGTTGTATATTTGTAGTGCATAGATATCTTCACAAAATTACATAAAACCTTTGGCCAAGCAGCATATATTGTGGTTCATGTCAATATGGCAACACCAGAGATGATTTCCCAGGAAAATGTCTAGTCAATGAACACTCTGCTCTAATGTGTAAAATCAAAGTAACAGGATAGCAATTACTCAAATTTTTCCACAAGCAGCCAACATCACATTATTCTACTAGGCTATCACAAATCCAGAACTTCTCAATTAAACTCAGACTTGTAAATTAAATATAAATCCAAGACAAACTTCTCAATTCAGCTAATATTAATTAATTATGAAGGCACAAATCGAAGAGTATTCTCAGAGAAGTAAAATGAAGTTGATACAATTGTTTAAATGATCTGCAAATATTGGAAGTGACAAATATATCAAATTCCCATGATGCTTACGACAAGGTTTTTGAGTTTGCTTGTTCGACGAACTACATTATGTGAAAGATACGTAGAAGGATAAATTTCTGTGAAAAAGCTCTCGACAGTATTGCTGACGCTTCTCCCAGAGGTTACAGGGATGCTTCGGACTAAAACAGTAAACTCTTGTGGCTGAGGTTTCGATGAACAGAAACACGCCAATCTTTTGGCTGAGATATATGCATGTTCCTGCAGATTGTATAGTATTTCAGAGTCCAAACACTCCTAGATTCATAATATTTTGACCAGGAAAGATAAATTAAAACCACAAGGGATGATTTACTTACAAAATAAAGAAGGCAGCAAACAAACATCGTGAAACATACACAGCACAAAAGTGAATCCACAACCTTAGAAAGGCCAAGATAGACAGTCAGAGATCAGATCCAACTTAAATATCTGCTATAAATTCACTAAATTTCAGCAAGCAATTGAGACTCTGTACTACATCTCTGCGTTGTCAATTAATACCAGCCAATTGATGCAACCAATGTTAAGCCGAAGGGCAATGAAGTCAAAGGAATCAATTTTGTTATCGTAAGACGTGTTACATTATAAGAATTAGAAAACATGACAAAAGGCACAAATGTGGGAATTCTGTCAATGATTTTGGTGTTATCCTCAGCAATCTCCTATATCCCGTTGGTCAGAAGTACCAGTAAATTCCGGGTTCATAATTAAAGACAAAAATCACCTGTTTGAGCCATCACCCACATTTGAGATGGTGAAAGTTTCCAGAGTTTTATTTTGCACGCCCGTGAAGTCGAGACTTGGCTGATCACCCATATAATTAACAGGAAGAAGAATAAAAACCCCAATAACCGTAGCAAAAGTGAAGATCCTCAAACTGCAGAAGTAAACAGGTACATTGAGCAAAACGTGGTATGCAACAAAAGTAAAGAAAAAGGCATACGGACACGTAGATATGAACAGCCTTTGACGTGCAATCACGCATATAGAAATCCAAAACTGAATAACCTGAAGATAAAAATGCGCATGAATACTACGCCGTCCAAACCGGAAACTGATAAAAGCTCATCTTCTGAGGGTTGCCATGCCATTCTGACCCAACCAGCAGACGGTAATAACCTCTCCAAGCTGAAATCCCCTCTCTCTTGGGATTTGCCATGAGCAACCAGTCTTGGTGCATATACACCGGCATTGCCTGGCTGCTTTCTCAATATGGAATACAATGCAAAAAACAGAAAACAAAGAGCAAGATTGATTCCAACCGATGTCAATAGTGCAGAAAGAATCATCACTTCAAGCAGCTGGCTCAACCCGAACTACAGTACTCATTCACAGAAACAAACCCACCTCCTCAGAATGCCTTATCAGATGGTTCGATCGACTTAACTGGGCATGCCAAAAAAAAAACGATGTTAAAAGAGTTACTAAGAAATGAGGTGCAATAGCGTAAAGGGGGTGACTTCATTTATAGAAGCACTCCTAAAGAACAAACTTTCTTGGGTCTCTTCTATTAAAGTGAAACTCCTAATATCGCGTATCAAGGCGGAAAAATTCAAAACGATAAAGAAAGAGGGAATAAAATGATGATAAGATACAGCTTTTTACTAACCCAGAATCGTCAGAAGGCGATAAACTATAAAATATTTAGGGTGTGACAGAATCAGCTGTAAGTAGAAGGTAATGAAAACAGTAGAAGCTTTTTCTTGCGTGTGTTGATTCTGATATCAGTAAACGTGATGTTCCCAATACAGACTTACAAGTAGAAATCTTTATACACTTTAGAGCAGCAGAAGTATCAGCGACCTGAAGTTTCCCGAATTTGCTGAACAAAAATGAAGGTGACAGGGGGAGTAGTAGCGCTCACTACTTCAAGAATCGTGCCAGTCAAACTTTTGACCAAGAGAGTGGGAACCCTAATCAAGATTCGAGAAAGATGATACTGAGCAGAGAAGTAACCGACTCATCATCGAAGAAGTAGAGAATCGATACTTTGATTGAGAGGGTTATGTTGCAGAATGAGAGCAGACAGTAAAATTACTTTCAGAGGAAAAAGTGGGTGGGAGGGCCCGGATCAGCTCAGCTCAACTTATTCACTTGTTTTGGCACTAACCAAATAAAAGTTATTTGGCGCTAACCAAATAAATGTTAAAACCGCCTCACTTACAACTCACCTCAGCCTTGCTCCTATTTTCGGCCTCTTATCAATTAGTAATAATTACTACCCAGTAATCCCAGGTTCGCCTTTATTTCAAATATGCAATATGCATTTTTGGTTCCTCCTTATCCTGTGGGTGAAGGGCAACCGATAATCAAACCCCCCCCCCCCCCCAACCAAAACCAAGAAAAGAAAACCCCAAAAGCCTAACAAATAGGTGAATCGCTATTTCATTTTGTGAACATCACTCGCCTCTAAATTGAACATACATGTGCGAGCTTTATCATGAATTTATTTTCTAATGTTATATATCGTAACAATTTAATGTATGTAAAATAAAAAAATAATTAAAAAATATAATCACAAAAATTTTTTTTTGAAAAACTTCAATCCAAACAAGTTTAGATGGCAGAATAATAGTGTGCCACTTGTTAAAGTTGAAATACCCTTCAAATCTTTTTTAGTAAACTGTTCACTGCTAATCTCATGTCCAGTTTAGATTGTGAATTTTTGTAGAAAATTTTTTAAAATATTTTTCTTGACAAATTTTGTAAATTTTTATTTCACATAAATCTCATTACTATAGTATTATATATTTTTACAAAAACATCAAAAAAATTACAATTCATATGGGATATTCTATCAAAAAAATGGAAATCCTCCATCTTTAGTTTTTTTCTCTCTTTTTTCCAATAGGATTATTTTAAAGTACTAATAAAAAAGAATTGACAACAAGTCATAACGAATCCTTTTAAAATTAAAACTTAAAATATCCAATCATCTTTTAAATAGGTGATTGAAAAATTTATTCAAAAAAAATCTTAAAAAACTGCAAAACAAACAAGGTCTTAGGTTCATTTTTTGAATTTTTTTAATGTAAGTAGGAAATTTCAATTTTAGAATCTTTCATTTACACTCCCTTCTCCTATACCACCCAATCTATTCCTTTCCATAAAAATTATTTAGCTTGAATATGAAGTCTTATATAGAAGCTATAATCAACACATTTTTTGAGAAAAGCAGCATGATTGCGGACTTTTAAAAATTAGATCAAAATACAATGTTTAAATTAGACTTTTATGATTGTATTTCCAAAAAATACAAGATTTAACTGACATTACAAATTTAGATCACAATGGAGCGTACAATAAATAAATTAATTGAACGCTTATTTTACGTACTAATACTTATAGGTAGGATGACATTGAAATTGCAAGTTATCCACAAAAAAAAAAAAAAGGGCATGGAATGGTTTGAAACTTTGTTTTGCATAAGCCTTGTAATTATACAAAATATTATTTATTATGTACCCTTAATGACAAATGATCGAAAAAACCAATTGCAAAGTTAGACAAGCTTCAAAAGGTAGACTATTTTTTTTCTTGGAAAAAAGATAGTAGTTCTTATTTGAAACACACATGATTAATTGTCTGTTTGAAGTTGAAATGGTTTACTAAAATACACTTTAATTAGTAGAACTTTAGGTTATAGTAGTGTTTCATCATATTATTTGGGTGCATAATTGTATAAGTATTTTTTTATTTGATAATGTGTAATTTTGAAAATAAAAAAAATTATTTTTCTCATCATTTAGTTCAAAATTTATAATAAAATTATTAAAATTAACTTTTTTAGCCTTTTAAAATATAAAAGTTGTTCTAAAAGCATCTATTTTGAGCTTACGTCAAAAGTATTTATTTTTTTTTAAAACAAAAACAGCGCAATCCCAACCCCAAACAGCCTGTGTAATGAGATATGAAATTTAACGACAAACTACTACTAATAAATAAAGTTGAAAAAGAGACTGGTACTGCCATTGATACCGTGGATCGCTTGTGTCAGTATAATTTGGGAACCTAAAAAGTCAGCGGCCCGGTTCCAAATCCAGCGAGGAGGAGGTGGAGGAGGAGGGGCTTATTTAATTGTTTTTTCCCTGTACTCCTGCTCCGTGCTAGTACGGAGTACTAGTTATATAGTAGTATAATATTTGGCGGAGGATCCAAAAATCAAATGCCAATCTCCTGGCGGGTCGCCACTCCGACTCCGAGGAATCCCCTGTGATTGAGAAGTTATCTCGAAATCCTTTCTGGGGTTGGGGGTTTTGGGATTGGGATCGGGATCGGGATCTTCAGGTATTTGTCCTCCTCTTTGATCTGTATGTTTGTATTTCAGGCCACAGTTATTTTTAAATCTGATTTTTACCGATGTATTTGTGTCCCCGTGTTACTCTCACCATGATTTGTTGTTCACGTCGTTGATATGATTGATTATTGTTGAATTTAGTTCCTATTGAAGTTAGATCTGGTACCTAAGATTTGGAGCTCCGGGTTTTCATCACACTCCCAATCCTGGCCTTATTGATAGCACCAAGCTAAATCTCCAAGAATTTTTTTTTTTTCATTTTTTGGAGCGATTTCCAACCGAGCTATCAATTTAGGCACCCAACACTTTTTTTCCCTGCCCTGGGTTGTTGGTGATTACTCAAGAGAATGACGAATGTCAAATTTACTGTAGGCCAAAGTACAGTGAAATGCCTTCTATCTTTAATTATAGACCGTCTTTGCTGCTGACTATTTCCATAAAATTACAAAAGAGTGAAGCCCTTGTGGCAGTTGAATTCTTTTTATTGGTTATGCTTGTGGTACTGTTTTGTAACTACAGGCTAGCTGATGGATGGACACTTATCTTTTTATCCTCATTTAATTGTTGCAAAGAACGTTTAATACTCTAAATCATAAAGCCCGTCTAGTGACCATCCCTTCTAATGCTTTGTACCAAATAGAAGCCTTGATTGTATAGCTGGCCAGGGGACAATAAGGTTGAAAAAGAACCTAATTTTAAGTGTAATTAGTGGTTAATGGCTGAAAACACAGTTGGCATTCTGTAAAAAATTATTGCTTATGGGGGACACCAATAGACTGCATGTATGATAAATTCCAGAGTGGTAGTAAATTCTGTACTTTGTAAATAATTTGGCATACTAAAGTGGAATCATAGGGAGACCTTGGGATATATATAGCAATTGATTCTAAGTAAACCTAGTCGTTAAGTGCTTTTTTCATTTCTGGCAGAACTTTTGATACTTCATATGATATAAAATTTGATAATATTGACATATGGCTGATTTCAGTGGATTCTTTTAGCACGGCATGAATCTTTTTAGTTTCTTTTAGCATCTTCTCGATAATATTGAGAAGTGACCCATTGGGTTGTACGTTTCAAACTTGTATATCTCATCTTTTTGCTTGATTTCTATCAATTACAGTGCGTATATATGGTCGTAAAGCTCTGCCTTTTTTTCTGCTGCTAGCTGGTGCATATTGTTCTAGTCCTTCTTGAGTGGCATTCTGGAGTCATACCATGGGTTGCTTAAATCAACAGACTGCAGTCAATGCTGTGGTTAGAGGGCCCAAGGATGGTTCCTTTAGGTCTTCAAGGGTTGCCTTGGCATGCATGGTAAATTCAGAAATTGGTGCAGTTTTGGCTGTGATGAGGAGAAATGTAAGATGGGGAGTGCTTTATGCTGATGATGATCAAGTAGAGCACTCTCTCATCCAGTCTTTCAAGGAACTACGTAAAAAGATTTTCTTATGGCAACATCAGTGGCATTCAATTGATCCAGTGGTTTACCTTAAACCATTTCTGGATGTGATTCAATCTGATGAAACTGGGGCTCCAATTACTGGCGTTGCTTTGTCGTCAGTTTATAAAATTTTAACCCTGGAGATACTTGATTCAGAGACTGTGAATGTTGATAAGGCTTTGCATCTAATTGTCGATGCTGTAACCAGCTGCCGCTTTGAGGTGACTGATCCTGCTTCTGAAGAAGTGGCACTAATGAAGATACTTCAAGTTCTTTTAGCTTGCATGAAGAATAAGGCATCAGTTCATTTGAGTAATCATCATGTTTGCAACATAGTGAACACATGTTTTCGAATTGTTCATCAGGCAAGCTCTAAAGGTGAACTTTTACAGAGAATAGCACGCCACACTATGCATGAATTGGTTCGGTGCATCTTTTCGCACCTGCCTGACATTGGCGACAGACCGCATGCGTTGGCTGAGGGAAGCAGAATGTCTGCTGAGACCGAGGTAGGCATGGATATTTTTCCTGTCTGACATCTCTATAGGTTTAGAAATATCTTTTTTCTCTTTGGCCTGATGAATAATGCCGCAGTGAGTGAATGTCGACTGGCTTTAAGTGATTGATGCTTCAGCAGTCTTATTACAGATATGCTATCTGGTTATATACATCTTGGAAAGAACAATCATTTGTATATTGATATAATCTGAAATAGTATTTTGTTATCTTGTATCTGGGCTTAAATATATTTAGTGGATGGGGTATGAGCATTCAGGGTTAATATATACTTGTTTAAGGCCATAGCCTGTTTTTGTTTGACAATAAAAAATTGGATGATGGGTTTATGGGTATTTCTACCAGATGTATCTTAAAGTTTTCATTCCATCATGCAAAATGAATAAATAAATTCCGAGTCCTAAACCTCATGGTATTCTGCAGGTTCATGTGCCAAAAGATACTCATATTTTGGAAGGTACACAAGGTGTTAATGCCAATGGCAGTGCAAAATTTGATGGTAAGGCACTACCTCTTAAAGAGGCTTCAGGTAATCCTGCATTCACATCAGCAAGCAAAGTGGATGAGGAAATTATGACACTTGGCTCAGTGGAGGTTGCTCAGAATGGAGCTGACTCTATGATGGATCCATATGGTATCCCTTGCATGGTGGAGATATTTCAATTCTTGTGCTCTCTCTTGAATGTGATGGAAATTGAAAGTGGTGTGAGATCCAATCCTATTGCTTACGATGAAGATGTGCCCTTGTTTGCTTTAGGTTTGATTAACACAGCAATAGAATTGGCTGGGGCTTCCTTTGGAGATCATGCTAAATTATTGGTCCTGAT